ACTGAGTTTTACAATTAAAACACAAAACCAGTCATAAATTTACAAAATGTGATGCATCGATGTTAGAGCTGCTTTTTACTGTTGTAGCTGCTCGAGGTGAAGCTACAGTTTTAATTACTTCACATACCGTCAGCTAGTTTTAACTACTTTATATGTTCCTACAGTGAGCTTTGGAGGGACTGATAACAACTAGACATCAACGAAACGTGATGAAGGGTCCCAACCAAATAGTGTAGCTGTCCAGCCCGTTCTCATTTCAGCTTCGAATCCCTTCTACCATGTGAAGTTGTTAAGATACGTAATGTTACCAATGTGACTTAGGCCTGTGTCACGTAATGTAGACTTCCAAACCTAACCAAGTAGTTTTGGTGCCTAAACATCAACAACAACGACAAACTGCAACCGTTTCACAACATTAACCACATTTAAAAAAGGTTTTATATGAACCCTGAAGCCAATGGCCACCTTGTGCACCTTCTAGATATATATAACAATAATGTATAACACTCACAGGGACCATTTTTCTGTCTTGAATACTTTTGATATACACTTTTTTGATATACTTACTTTCTTAAGTGCGGTTTAAATGTCAGAGAAGCAATTTTACATTGTTCCATTTTTACTACTGCATTAAAAGACTACAGGAAAGTTTCAACAAAAGCTTAATTCTGTTCTATTAAAATTTTATATTTACAGAAGCAACAATAAATGTTGTTATATGTATGTATATAATGTGTTATATGTTTTAATGTCTGAAAACTTGTTAATAGTGCTGCTGCCTGTCTTGGCCAGGACACTCTTGGAAAGAGATTTTTAATCTCAATGAGTTTTCTTTCTGGCTAAATAAAGAACAAAACACAAACAAATGTTCACTTCAGGAACAGAGAGAACCTGCAGCCAGTTTCTGTTTCTGTCTGAAAAGTCAAACGCTTGCAAACCAGCTTTGTTTCCTGAGCGCTTCATGTGGTTCACCACGGATCAAAGCTTCATATCCTAATTAGTGACTTCACCAACATAAATAATAATTTTCCAAAATGCAGCTCAGCCACATGTGAAGACACATTTGTGGAAGGACATTCTGTGGATTTCAGGTTCAAACTTCAGCTACATGCTTAAAAAAAATGCAAAAATGAAATGAAAGAGTGAAGCACCACCTGGAGGACATCAGGCACACTGCACCAACAATCTATCAATCAAATCAAAGGTTTCAAATAGAAGCCTTTCAAAACTTTTATGTTTTACACTTTTATATGTTATATCCGCCTCTTATGAGGAAAATAACATTTTCAGGATCTTTCAAAGTCTAATGTAAAATTTTGTCACGTTTTGTGGTGAAGACAGATTTAAATCAACATCATGTTTTATTCCTGATCTGTCAAGAAAACTGATACGTTTCACATCCTGTAGCGCCACCTGCAGGTCAAAATGTGGATGTCAATGCTAATGACATCTCAGTCAGCCTCAGCCGTTCGTGTTTATTGCTAGCACATTTTAGCATACTTTTGTCTCCTTTTTTTATTGTACTAGTTTGTGATGTGGTAAATAGATTCAAACATCAGTTTAGAGAAGTTGTTAATGTTGGGTTTTAACTGTTGACTCAAGTTGATCAATCAGTTTTGGGGTTGTAATTTGTGGTTTACAAAATATCACGGTCATCTCATTATATATATATATTTATTTTACTGACTGTTTATAAGCTGTTTATCTAGCATATCTATTTATGCGCACTACCTGTCTAACATTCTGTCACGCTAAACTAAGATGGTCAGGAAGAATGCTAACGTTAGCATTTAGCTCAAAGCACTGCCGTGCCTCTGTGCAGCCTCAAGCCGGTGTAACACCAAAATCTGTGAACTATCAGATTCCGTGACTACACCCAAACGACGATGTTTTCCTAACCATAACCAAGTACTTTGGTGCCAAAACCCAACCAAACTGCAACCGCTTCACATCGTCAACAAAGCCTCTGGCGCCTAACTTCCCATTTGGGTCACAGAATCTGATAGGTCACACATTCTGGTGTCACACCGGTTTTACACACAATGCAGATATTAAATTCCCATTGGGTTAATCTGTGATTTTTACCGCTGGACTACTCTCACGAGTGTACCAGAAGTAAAAAGTTAATTAAATAAAGCAGTTAACTCTGAGCTAGAAAGAGGTAGGTAGAAAGAGTAAAACATGGGATCCATTTCAATGCATTCAAAATCACCACTTGTGTCTTTTATTTGCTCAGACTCAGATTTAGAAGCGAATCCTGTATGAGATTATAGCGTGTGTTCACACTCTGCCATTATCATACTTTATATATGAGTTTATATGAGCGAAGGTTTGGACTTGTATCAGCTGAAGGGTGCTTTCAGGGTCTTTCTAACTTTTCCTCTGGGATCCTGCGGCTCTTTTTCTGGTGGGGGGATAATCCGGGCGTGGCTATCAGCAGATATGGCTGCCCTGTCATTTTGGAGTCACACCACATCATCCTGTAAGGCAGCAGGTTTAGAGTTAAAAAAATCTAAAAAATCACTGGGACTTTATAGTTGCTGTAATTGGAGCAGAAGTCACATTCCTGAGCCGGAGAGCGAATTTGAAATAGTCGCCTTTGTTGCACGGATGATGATTAAAAGACGCCACAGGCCAGCTGACTTCTTCTAATTTGAGAGTCTATTTCTGGGGATGCTGATGGATGAAAAAGAGAAATTGTGTTCTCCAGATGTGGGAGCTGCCCTCCTCCTCCCACCTCCAAAATATCTGAATGGGAGGAGGGGGAGGTTGTGAGTGAGTGGAGGAGAAATTTGGCAAGTGCCCTTGAAAAGAAACAGAAGAGAAGCGGAGGAGAAACGCAGCTGATCACCAGACTGCTGAGAGTTCATCAGGATGAGGATGAAGACTGTTGGGGTCGTTGTGTTGGTGCTGTGTCTTCATCAGGAGGCCTTGTCTTCTGCTCAGGTGCGTACAGGTGACGCTAACAACAGTGACGGTGATCTGACGGCAATATTCTGACTCACAATATGTTAAATATGGTAGATTAATGCAGAGGTCAGAACTGTGGTTATTTGTGAAATGCTGGATCCTTTCACTTCTCCAGGCCACTGAAAGGGATCAAACGCTAAAATGTTTGATGAGTAAAACCAGAGAAAAGACGTGTTTGGTCTAAACAAAAGTGTGATTTAATTTATTTAAATGAATCTACGAAGTCAATTAAGAACAAAGTATTATTTATTATAATGGACTCTATATATGATTCTTAAAAGCAATTTCACATTTGCATTTTTGTGTGAGCCATATTTTCTGATATTTGTTTTATATTGTTGAGTCATTGTTGCTGGCACTATTTTTTAGTTTCTATGCTTTCCCTGTTAAATGAAGAGTATATAAAAACTATAAATGTGTGTAAAAGTTTAAAGGTGACAGAAATTCATCAGAACATTTTTTTTTATTTCACCAGAAGGAGCTCTAGTGATAAACATTTATTTCTCAATAAGTATCTTACTTAATGCAGAGCCAGGGCAGCTGAAATAGAGTAAATATTATATTTTTATATAGAAGTTCTATGACTTTAATTAAAGCAGTTGCTACCAGCTGATGAACAGTTACGAGGATGGAATCACTGAAGGGACATTTGCCTCATGATGATCACTGAGCGGCAGCTTGTAAGTGTGTTGTAGTTACACAAAATATTAAATACAAAACTAAAAGAAGTATTTTCATTTCAGATAATCGTTGTGATGAAAGAAAGAACTCCAAAAGCATTTTTAAAACTGCAAACGTTCTGCTTTTCTTATTGTGTTTTTATGTAGTCTACACAGTAGGCAATCTATAAGTATCTATAGTTTGAAAACTTCATTACGATCACGATGACAGCTTTAACGAGGTAACTACCAACCAGGGTTATTCGTGTCCTAAAGTTTAATTTTTGAAATTTCAGGCACAGTTTTCAGATTTGTTTTAGCTGATGTCTTTTCTTGGTTTCACTTTGAATAAGCCTGTCTTTGAATAATTACAGTAGATGTGTTCTTCAAAACTAAAACACTGAACTAAACTGAAGTTTGGATAAATTCTATTTAACTTAACACTGGAATATTTAATTAATTTCCATTTTCTTGTGAGGTTTCTGGGTTTTTTTGGGTTACAAAACATTTTTGTTATCAGGTGTTTTTGAACGTCCTCTGTATCCCCCACTGAGTCACTGCCTGTAACAAACAACAGAGAAACGCCTCCAGAAACCAAACACACAAAGCCACAGGTTCATTATGTGGCAGCAGCGCTGTGTTGTTTTGAGCGCAGTATTTTAGCCGTCAGTCGGAGGTCAGAAGGGCTCGGGTCCAATTGTCACCCCGGTGTTACTGCAGCAGACCGCGGCTCTGAAAACCTCACCTCTATGTATAGACCTCACACCTGAAACACACAGACTGCTGGCAGTGGTCTGCTGTAGTCTTCTATATAACTGGACACAGGTGGACAGTGTGTGGAATGACACCAGACAAGTTTGTATCTGTCTTGAAACTATTTTAGGACCGTGATTGATTATTTATCTTTAATATATGACCAGAATTCCAGTTTGAAATGTAAAAAATGAACTAACATGATCAATAGGATTTGAAGAAGCAACCATTCTTGTGTTGCAAAGAAATCTTCTGAAGTAAGCATGCTAACCAGCTAGAAAATGTTCGGATCTGCACACTGTCCCTGCCTGAACCCGCCCCGTCCCTGGAGGCAGGGTCCTGGTTGGAGCCGCGGTACCTCAGTACTGTATTCCCTGTTGTCTGGTTCTGTTCACTCGCCCAGCTCCGGGTTTTGGTGACCATCCCTGAAAGAGCTAACTAGCAGTTAGTAATAGTTAAGACCTGATGTGTGATGCTCCCCTATTTTTTCTGGAGTAGCCTACGAATTCGATAGATGGAGAGTCTCAATTCTTACACATTGTACCTTCAAGAAACAGCATGGCAAAGGCTGGGGGGGGGGGGGGGGGCATGTCTGTCTGTCTGATTTACATTTAGTTTATTACTGTATGACTCTTCTCTCCTCATCCCATCCACAGGAGTGTCCATCGACCCACGACCTGCTGAACTCGCTGCGCCAGGTGGAGAAGATGTTGGCGGTCCATGAGGCGTCCTACCAGCACGGTTTGCGCTCCCTCAGGAAGAAGATGAGCGCTCTGCATAACAGCACCATGGCCATCTTTAAGGCCGGCGGTGAGAAATAATACTTTGCGGTGTGGTTTATCCTAGTGTGACAAAAAAAATAGATGGTGATATTGTCTTTACTTCATCTCAGTGACCTATAAAGATTTAAAAAATGCCAATGACAGATAATTTAATATAGAAAACTGTAATAAAATATTTTACACATCCCTAACATTAACTTTTTGGGGCTTTTTATGTGCTTGCTACGTCCTAAAAAAAGTTACGTGATGTAAATGTCTTTAAATTTTATTTATTGTTCAATATCATTTATTAGTCAATCATGGGATGGTGATGGCGCAGTGGATAAGATGCATGCCTTTGGTGTGGGAGTCCAGGGTTCAACTCCCACTGTGACACATCCACCAATCCCTGAGCAGGACACTTAATCCCTCGTTGCATATATAAATGCACCAGCTAAATGACTAAATGTAATTATTAATTGTTCAAAACATAAAATGGAAATGCTGTGAGCTGCGTGCACCTGCAGAGATCACTAGAGAAGTGCTCAGTGCATATGAATCTTTAACCTGAGGGTATCACCATTGTCATTGACTGAATCAGTAACATTTAGCAATGAAACTTCATTCATTGGTGACAGAAAGCTCAGTTTTCAGCTCAGCTATGTGCAGTATTATTACTTGCTGGTTGAAAGCTCATTGATAAGCCATAAAAATCATCAGAACTGATATAAAGAAATAATTATTTTCTACTGAAGCGCATGTTTTTTACTGAAATGGACATAACAGCTTGAACCAGAACAGTCAGAAACTGCAGCAAATGTTACTGCGGTGTGAACGGCGACATGTTCTAACTGCATAGTCAGTTATGCAGTTAATTTCCCAATTACAGATAACAGTGTGCCACGTAATGGGAAATTAAATCAATAAATAAATAATAAGCCCAGCAAAGACATTAATTTATGTATTTTATGTTTAACACAGAGGAAGGAAGTTACAGCATCTTTTATCAAGTCTTCCTGCTAAGATCAGGGCATGATTTTAAGGTGGTGGTTTACAGTTCATCAAGTCTGTTTCCACTTGTTTTTTTCATTGACACACCAACATTTCCTCTTCAGCTAAGTGTAAAAATGTAAAGAGCTGGTATTCTGCTTTTTGGCTTTTCCCCTCTCCTTTATTGAGTTATAAACCTTTTTTGTGCAGGTTTGCAAAGTGAAAAAGTCCAAAGTGAGTTCCCATCTCCCACAGAAAACTCTGCTCTGAACTGAAAACAGCTCGTTTGTAGTCCAGACGCTAAACGCGCCTCATATAATAACGCTCGCCGAGCGGCTACTCAGAAACAGCGAGCTGCAGCACACAGCTCTCCTCTCCCTTCCAAACACTAGCTACCCTCCAGGCAGTCAGTGGACAGAAAGTTGTTCCTGTGATGTAGAGACAGAGCTCAGTTAAAACTTTATGGATACAGATTAATAACTCACCGCTCTGAAACTCTCGCTCCAGTCCGTGTTGCCGAGCCGGTCGGCAACACGTACGGCTGAACCCGAGCCGTTTACCGGCTTCTCGCCGACCCGCCCTTCTCTGCTTCTGATTGGCTAGTAGTCCTTAACTAGGAACTGAGCATGTGCAACTCCCAACAAAGATCATTTAGAGACAAGATGTATCACTCCATAGCTAAAACGAAGCCTTCAACACAGGCTGAAAAGAGGAGCTGCAGCAATGTGCAGTAGGACAAAAATATAACCATGGAAACCTGCTCTGGTACAACCTCTAAATAAGATGAGGAACCTGAAAAATGAGCAGAATACCACCTCTTTAAAGCGACATTTCTAGTATGTTGGTGGATAGAACCCCATGAAGGGTCACTAGCAAACGAGGTCAAAGTAGAAACTGATACTGGTACTTACTGGTACTTTAGAGAGGTATGCAACATCCATGGTAGCTGCCATTGATCACGTGTAGAGCCTTACTGTATTTCATACATTGCAAACCTGTAGTTTCCGTGGTCTTGCCACCAAGTCTAGGAAGTTGCATCTTGGATTATTTCACGCTGCATAGATACAGAATATAATCCAGATTACAACAAAGCTACAAAACAAACTGGGGTTGTGGAAGAAGCATTCTAGATTAAATGAATCCCAGATTGATACTCGTTAAAAATATTAGAGTAGATAAGATAAGATAACCAGAGGTTTAATCCTTTAAGTTCAGAAGACAGATGAACACGTCTCCATCTGCTTCCAGCAACCTGCCCCAAACCAGAACCCCCTGCTCACGGACGCAGACTGGGCAGAGTGTTTGGCATCGGACACGAAGTCCACTTCCTGTGCAAGCCTGGCTACGAGCTGATTGGCCCACGAACCCGAGTGTGTCTGGACTCTCTGAAGTGGAGCGGCCAGCAGCCAATGTGCAGGCGTAAGTACTGACGCTGGAAGTATATTCCTGATACCGGCTGAGTACCAGGAGTTTTCTTAAGTTTTATTTCATTTTTTTCTTTTCAGGCCTCAACAGCACCGGCAGCTCCCTGGCATCCTTCTCTCTGGCTGCTTCCTCCTCTTCCTCTTCCTCCTCTTCCTCTCCTCTCTTCTCCTCCTCCCTCCCTGTCTCTGCTGCTCTGTCAGCATCCTCCTCCTCCTCCTCCTCCTCCTCCTCAACTCCCCCCTCTCCTGTCTCCTCTTCATCACCCACATCTTCCTCCCCCTCCTCCTCTGTCCGTCCGTCTCACTGCACACACTTCCTGGGCTCCACCCGCTGCACCTGTGACGTGGGTTTCACCATATCTGGCCGTGACAACAACATCTGCACTGGTAAGAAATATTTCTCACCATTGACTGACTGTTTTCTAACATCCAGTAACGATCGTGTCTGCGTTTCAGATATCGATGAGTGCCGTCTGTTTCCTCTCGCTCAGCCCGGCCGGCTCTGCGTCCATCAGTGTGTAAACACGCCCGGCAGCTTCCACTGCTTCTGTCCGGCCGGCTACGAACTCGCCAGAGACGGCCGCAGCTGCACAGGTCAGAGGTCAAAGGTCGTCCGGTCGGTTCGGGGGAATGTGTGGAATTTGTGTTTGTAACTCTCGCCTCCGTCCTTCTGTGTTCAGACATCGACGAGTGTGAAAACCGGATGCACAACTGCACAGCGGCCCAGGTGTGTGTGAACACCTACGGAGGTTTCCAGTGTGTGACGCTGGAGTGTCCTCACGTGAAAAACGCCACGTACATCAAGACGTCACCGATGTAAGAGCATACCGACCTGAATCAACATCCATCATTCTGCAGATAGTTTCCTTCTGAGCAGGTCATTTCTGTCTGACCTTTTCTGCCAGAGGACTGTTTGTTTCATCCAAGCGCGAACCTCCAGGTCCAAAAGTGCTTTAAACCTGCATTATTTCGAATGGCCAGCAGGGGGCGACTCCACTGGTTACAAAAAGATTTCAGATTGTAGTTAAGCACCAAATGACCCTACTTCTCACTGATTCATTACCTCACTCTTCTCCAACACAGCATGAAGCTCTTTTAGGAAATTATGGTCCCATTTAGAGGAAAATAGATGATACCGCATGGGAGGCTTTAGGGCGGGGCTACCTTGTGATTTACAAGTCAATACCACGGCTGACCTGTCAATCAGGATAGTGGTGAATCATATCAACTGCATGTGTACATTTAACTAGCAGTGAACTTGTTTCTGGGTGCTGTCTGTGTTTTTGTCTCAGAGCTGTGACCCTTTCACAGTGTTTTCACTTCCTGAAAGTTAATGGTAATACTTTGGTTGCCTAAAAATGTCTTGTTCAGACTTCGGTTGTACTAAAAAGCTATAAAAAAATTTCTGGTAAGTACACTACCGTTTAAAACTTTGGGGTCACTTAGAAAATTCCTTGTTTTCAAATGAAAGCACAGTTTTTGTCCATTAAAATAGCATCAAATTGATCAGAAATACAGTGTAGACCAATTTGATGTTATTATATTGGATAAAAACTGCTTTTCTTATGAAAACAAATAATTTTTTAAGTGACACCAAACTTTTGAACAGTGGTGTACATTTTGTGTTGAGCCTGTTTTCCACAAGCCAAAATTAGCATCCCAATTAATATCACAGCTAACGTGAATGACCTTCCTAACCAGTCTGAATATGGTACATTTGGAACCATAAAATAACAAGACTTGGTGTGCATTCCAATACCCATACTACAATACTATAAAGTATGCCAGAAAAAGATTTTGTACATCCCAAGCATGCCAAAATACCAGGATGTCCTACTGCATTTTGAAGCATGCAAGCCAGCATGCTTTTCAGGTTATTCTGACACATTTGCTAATTAGCACTAAACACAAAGAACCTCAAGAGGAAAGGTCAAAGGATCACAAAACTTATTAGGATTCATCCTCTGGGATGAATCTGCACAGAAGAGATGAGCGAGAAGACACTGGTTAACCAGCAAACAGACTAACTGCCGTGTGATAAATCATCTCAAGAGCACAATGAAACTGCAAACAAAGCCAGTAGAGAAGGAATGAAAATCATAAACCTTCTCACCTCAGAAGACAAATACAATGTAAATGACAGGGACTGCGATGGAGAGAGATTTGAAAACAATGAGCTTCACCTCCATGTCCCCATCTTCCTTTCTCCACCCGGGATTTAGCTCGTCTCCTCCAACATTAGCTGGGCTGAGAGTCAGACTGAGGTTTGGCTTCAGACTCCCTGCTGGGGTTTCCAGGCTCCAGTCAGCCGATCGGTCGAACAGGAACTAAACGTGTTTCACAAAGTTTTTTATGCCTACAGCTGAATCATAATTATGTGTTTTAGTATCACAGGGTCTCCAGGGGGCATCTCTACCACATGCAGGGTTAGCTTTAGGTTAAGGCTTACATGTTCAGAAGACTCTTTGTTTGGACAGATAAAATCTGCTTATTACAGATTTAAAAACAAAGGGCACTTTGGCACTCAGGGGTCAAAGCACCCGTTTTAGTCATTCAGTGGAAATCGAGTCATTACTTTGAGTGAGGTGCATATTTTTCTTTTCACAACTGCATAGTTTTCACAATCCAGCCATCAAACTTCTGATCATGTTTGATTAAACAAGCACGGAGTCTCTTGAGAACTACAGCAATTCAGAGCTGACAAAATTTTCAATTATAGAGGGGACAGATGTGGACGAGGAAGAATAAGATTAATTCCAGCTACTTGGACCACAGCCGCAAATCCTTGGAGATGTAAATAAAGTTTTTGCTGACTTGCTGTTCAACCTATGACATCGCTTTGCTAGATATGAAAACCCACAAGCTAACCAGGCAGTTTTATATGATGGGATTATTGTTTTATATGATGCATTAGCAGGTTGGAGCAAATCACATGAAATTGGATAAATGCAGGCATATGCTGCTGAGTGCAGGATGAGTCATCAAAATTATTACCTTTTACAGGAAGTGAAAATGACATTTCAAAGTACATTTTGCATGTTTGGTATACAAAATGACAACAGAGCAATTTACACAGGGACACAGATAAGAACCTGAAACAGGTACTTGTTATATTGTTGTTTTTAAAAGTTAAAACAACTGACTCCCACTACTAAGGAGCCAGAGAGGCATCATTGAGAAGAAAAAAAAAATGTGTGCACGATTTAAAAATTCATGCTCTCGTTGTAGCATAACTTCATGCCATTCATCCTGTATGGATCGCTTGGATTTAATAATACACTTTATTAGGATCTTCGAATGAGATATGTGGATATATTACGGGTTTGTTTTTATAATCACAATGCTGCGCTATCCTTGAGATCCCTTAAGTGTATTTTACAGGACTGTTTCACTGGAAAACTTTTTACTGTGGACATCAACCAGTTCATAAAAAAACCTTCTGGGCTCGGGAGCGCTTCATAAATGTCCTCCTGGTCTTCTTTAAACGTCACACCGTTGGTTGCTCTATACAAGAGGGGAGGAGGCAAAATATCTATGATTTTACCTCGTGGGCAGAGGTTAGTAACTCGACCTCGCCACAGTTATGGTAATGAGTTCCATGGAAAAAGGGGATCAGGGTTTTTTTTTTAGCATAAAAGTTGGAAAGATGATATTGAAAAAACTTAAAGGGTCGAGGTGGCCATGAATGTTTACCAAATTTCAATGCAATCCATTCAGTAGTAGGAAAAGTCGAGGGGTCACCAATTCATCCTGTGAAAATCACAATTCTTTTTATAGGTTGGATTTGAAGGAGACCTTCTGCTTTTCCAGGGCTATCTTGCAGTTTTGAGACTCCTGTATGGCAGCTTTCCAGGATTCAAAGTTCAAAAAATTATTTTCTGTCTTTATAGGCCTTCATTTCAGCATCTGTCTGAAACAAGCTGTAGATGCTCCTGTCTCTTTAAGACCCCCCCTCTCAAAGCCCACTGTCTTCTGATTGGCTAAGACCTGAAGCCTGTTTCCAGGCTGTTGTTGTTGCTGGGCGGAACAGGCAGACCGAGTGTTGCTGTGCAAAGAAAATGCCCATATATGGAAACAGCGGCTCCGTCTGGCTCCTGGTGTCGTATTACGGAGCCGTTGGTAGGAAAAGCAGTTGAAAACAGAGCGTTCAGAACAGGAGGAAACTGAGGTTTCTGCTGACAGTGATTTCCTATAAAAACTTTAACCTCATTATTTGAAGCTTTGGCCATGTTTAACATGAACATCCAACATTGTAACATTGTAGATAAGTCATAAAATTTCCTTTAAGTTATGGAGCAACAAACTGACCGTTGATCAGCTTTGTTAATAAACTCAGCTGTTGTAAAGCAAATCTTAAAATAATATCTACCCACTTTGTGTTTCCCCAGGCGCTGTGAGAGGAACCCGTGCATGCTGGGAGACAAAGGATGCAGTCAGGCACCAAACTCCATCTCCTTCCACTTCCTGTCTGTGGTGTCTAACATGTCCGCCCCTCGCGTCCTCTTTCGGGTGTCGGCGGCTCGTGTGCTCGGTGACACGCTGCGTTTCGGGCTGGCCGGAGGCCGTGGGCGAGGCCACTTCAGCGTGCAGCGCTCCGGCCGACAAACCGGGACCCTCCTCCTGGTGACTCCCATCAAGGGTCCTGCTACTCTGGAGGCTGAGGTGGAGATGAGCGAGCTGGAGCGCCACTCCCTGCTGGGCCGCTACCTCACCAAGGTCACCCTGTTCGTTTCTCCATACGAGTTTTAGGGGAAGGGTGGGGGGGTTCAAGGTTCATCAGGGTTTACTAAAGAGCCTAATGAACTTTTACAGTCCAGCTGAAATTATAAAAGTCAATATAATGTAAAAATGTATTTTTAATATTTTTTATTACTGAGAAGAAAGCTCTTAGTAAATACATCAGAAACTCTCCTTTAGTCTCCAAGCCTCTGAGTGTGTGTGTGGTGTGTGTTTGTGGGAGGCCAGTTTGTCCCAGGAATGGAACTGGGATGTCGTAAGTGGGAATTCATTGAAGGTTGTATGTATGCATGTTGTCACTCCCAAGTACTCACATATGGACGCATGGTCAGGACCCTCAGTGTCACTTTGTATAGCGTCAGTGTTGAACACTACAAGTAGGCGTGTAACAACAAGTCAGGCCCTACCTCAGTATGCTTACTGAATCGTCGCTTTGGATAAAAGTGTATGCGTCCAAGTAAGGACGTGGTTGGGGTGGACAGATGGGTCAGAAACTGGACTTTCACCCAGGAGGAGACCAGTGTTTGTTTCCCGTGTGAGACTAAAAAGTCAATGTCAGTAACGTAGTTATTTTAACCCAAACCGTGATCTTTTCCTACACCTGACCAAATGTTAACCACTAGTTTTATTTTGAAATGAATGAGGGCTGGACGCTGCATATTTACTCTTGCTAATTTGACCGCAAACGCAACACGTGCCAAAACGATGCTAAAGGGCTTCCCAGGGTGTTAAAATGCATAACATGTGATGAGTTGGGATTTAGAACGTGTTGGTCTTTCTGCCTTTTGGGGGGGGGGGGGGGGGAATCCCAAACCACTGAGTGTGTTTTTTTTTTTAGGTGAGTTGAACGTTTTCTAACTATGAATTCTGTATATAATGGAGCCATCGTCAAGCAGACCATAGCTGTTTAGTGTTTAAAAAATCTTCAGTGGGGTTTATTTAAACGACCGTCAGCCTGTGTTTTCTCGACAACGTGGTTTGAGACCAGCATTTTGTCAAGAAAACACAGGCCGACGGTCGCCGAGCTGCAAATCAGGCTAAAAATCGTGTAGTGTGAACTGGGCTTTAGGTTGTCAGCAGTTCCACCAAAAGGGATATTTCCCTCTAAACTGCTCAGAAAAGTGTTTGGGGCTAACAGAGGTAACATAGAAAGAGAACTTTTGATACATTAAAGAATCCTAAGACTTCTTCCGGCACTGCGAGGTTCGTAAGCCTTGTAAGATGGGATAACATAGTTTTCCCGACCAATGGAAGAGCAGCTCAAATGTGTGCAAACAAACGAATGAGGACGATGCCCAAAATAATTTGTTTATGTTAAAGCGACAAACGCCTCTAGTCACAGAGTCACGGGTCCACAGAGGGAATGTGGAGGAGTTGTCATTATGATTTGATCTGTATCTCATTGATATGCATTTATGATTTATCACAATTACAGGAAATAATTTCCATTTGTTGGGCGAATGCACAAAACTTATTGGAATCCACTACATGACATGTATTCAAGGTGTTCACAGCGGACACACCTCAAATGTGTGATGGAGCGTTTCCTTTTTATTATTCCTCGAATACATTATCATGACAGTCGAGTCACAAGATCTCTGACGTAATTGCTGACGTAATCTGCACTCTGCGCATGCGTTGGCGTCTGTAGCCACCTGTCGGAAGCTCCGTCTTGAACCGGACTCTTATCCAGTTTTAATCCACTTTTTTCGTTACATTTTTTATATCCTTTTTATTTAACTTAACTTTATTTAAGTTTTACGTGGGTTAAGGATTTTAGTCATCCGACATGGATTTTAAGATAGATGACCGTAAAAACGCGATCAACGCTACTGACCACAACAAAGCTCCGGTGACTATGCTAGCCGAGATAACTCTGCCCCATGAGGACTGCTCACTCCTTAATAAAGCGAACAAGAAGATTGCTGACCTTATGGAAGACATCCGACGACTTTCAGAGGAACTCAAAGAGAAATATTCCCTGCTGACTGGCTTTATGGATGTAGCTTCAGTACAAGCCAAACAGACTGTTTCTCTTAGTGCAACCGCTAACATCCAGGACACCGTGTTTTGGGACCCCTCTAGCCTTCCAAGGCTTTCATCCTGCTCGACTCCAAAGCATCAGTCAACCTGGGCTGAAGTGGTGGTCCGTGGCTGCAAGAGAGGCTCGGATGGGGCTGCCTGTCCTCCGGACATCGGCCTCTCCAACCGCTATGCAGCCTTGTCTAACGACACTCCGGTCCATCCAGCTGATGCACCTGCGGCTTCGAGTCTCCCTGATACGGATCTCTTTCGGCGCACAGTGCCTGCCGACACTGTTGCATCTCCTCCACCGGCTACATCTCCTGCACTGGGCTGCCGGTCTGCCGCCGGACCTGATCGGCGGCCGTCATCCCGGTCAAAAACCTCCGCTTCCCGACGTAGGATCCTAAAGGAGGCTGTGCTCAGACGCTCCGGAGGCCGTCTCTACCCTGCACCGTCGGGTAGCCCTTCTCTCAGGTCTGTTACTGCTACTCCAACACAACACTCGGCAGCTCACACACTCCATCCTCAGTCCGCACGCAGTGTTGATGTAGAATCTGCTCAGTCCTGCTCTGGAACCCCACAACCGGCATCTCCTCGTCCCCTTTTCTCCCCAACCAAACTAATAATTGGTGACTCCATAAGCAGAAACATCCGTTTCTTTAACGCTACCACTCACTGCTTCCCCGGTGCCACCACAGCTGACATTTTAAAAAAACTCCAGGACCTGATGCCGTCGCTCCCGTCCTCCATCACAAGAGTGATAGTCCATGTTGGAACAAATGACACAGCTCTTCGGCAGTCTGAGCTGACAAAATCTGATTTTTACCGTCTTTTTAACTTTTTAAAGCAGTGTGGAAAGTCCGTTTTTATCTCTGGTCCCATTCCCACAGTTGGTCGCGGTGCTGGCCGCTTCAGTAGACTCCTTGGCCTCCACGACTGGCTCCAGTCCGCCTGCAGGGCTCACCGTGTGTTTTATGTGGATAATTTTAATATTTTCTGGCAAAGAATGTCTCTTTTTAAGACAGACGGACTTCACCCAAACAAACGGGGCTCAGAAATGTTAGCTGCTCACATACAGCATGTGGTGCGGTCCACACATGACTTACGTGAATGACTAATCATTCATGCAGCACACCTGGACACACCACCGCTCACTGAACAGATCTCTGCCTCACTGCCACAAACAACTGTCTCCACCTGCTGGCATGTAAAGCCGTCTGCTCCCAGCGCTGTTCCACAGACTTCTATTCCTGTCATCATCACGCATAGACCAGTAAACCGAAATGTGCACATCCCACACAGAAATATTAGTAATCTCTTAAGGATTAGGACAACTGCACCAACTCCAGCACCCAGAACAAACACATTTAAAATGGCTCTCTTCAATGTGAGATCACTTTCAAGTAAGACTTTTATCTTAAATGATTTTATCTTGTCTGCAAATCTAGATTTTATGTTTTTAACTGAATCCTGGTTGCAAATGAATGACTATAGCCAGCTAGCTGAACTGTGTCCGCCTCAATATGATTGCTTTAGTCAACCGAGGGTCAGTGGTCGTGGTGGTGGGCTAGTGAGCGTGTATAGGAAAAATTTTAAATGTCATCAAGTACGCTGTGATGAATTTAACTCCTTTGAAGTTCTCACTCTTAAAGTTGGAGGGCTGCATCATATTTGTTATAATTTATCGCCCCCCAAAACCGCCTGGAGGATTTTTATCAGAACTTCCTGAATTTTTATCTACTCTGGTTTTAAATTATGACAGAATTGTTCTTTGTGGCGATTTTAATATTCATGTTGATGACCCCAACAATCTTAATGCAACTGACTTTTTAAATATGGCCACTTCTTTTAACTTCAAACAACATGTCAAAGGTCAAACACATAACCGTGGTCATACACTGGACTTGGTTTTTACCCTGGGTGTCAGCATTCCTCTGTGGAATTAGTGGACATGACCATATCTGACCACAGATGTATTGTTTTTAGCTGTGATTCGCCTGTTACTCATGCCGCCTCACCAAGCTCCGTGTGTTCTCACATCTTTAATGAACAAAGTGTTTCAAAGTTTTGCGCATCTTTCAGAGCCAAAGCCAACACCTGTCTGATTCCAACACCAACAATCTGGTGATCACTTCAATCATATCTGCTTGTCGTCACTAAATATTACTGCTCCTCTAAAGGTTAGGCCTACGTCTAAAGCTAGTAAGCAACCCTGGATAAATGACAGCATTCGCAGCCTAAAAAGGGAATGCAGGAAAGCAGAGCGCAGATGGAAAAATCCAGTCTCCAAGTCCATTACCTCAGTCTGAAGGATTTATTAATTAACTACAATAAATGGTTAAGGATGCGAGAACACACTATTTTTCTGAACTCATTACTACACATAAACACAATCCCAGGTTTCTGTTTAAGACTGTGGATCAGCTGGTAAACCCAACCCCTCCTTGTGCCTCAGCTGGAAGTAATGATGACTGTGAATTGTTTTTATCTTATTTTACCAATAAGGTGGTGTCAATCAGAGCCTCTATTACCCCCGTGGCCTCTTACTCAGAGGTTCCTCACCAGCAACAAGAGAGTTTTAACCAGTTTTATCCCATCGACTTGTCTGAGCTTTTAAAAACAGTATCACAAATGAGAGTGTCCTCCAGCCCACTTGATGTAATACCTACAAAGTTTTTACTGAAAGTAATAGATTCTGTTGGGCCCCATTTGATCTCTGTTTTCAACAGCTCCCTATCTACTGGTTGTGTCCCTGATTATTTTAAAACGGCTTGCGTGAACCCACTTTTAAAGAAACCTGGTTTAGATCCCTCCCTCCCACAAATTTTAGACCAATTTCAAAACTGCCTTTTATTGCAAAGATTCTAGAAAGAATTGTGTCCAAACAGCTGCTCACTGTGCTGGAAAATAACAAATTATTTGAAAAGTTTCAGTCTGGTTTTAGGAAGTACCACAGCACTGAGACTGCCCTGCTTAAAGTCACCAATGACCTTTTAATGTCTGCTGATGAAGGCATGTGCTCAGTCCTGGTACTCCTGGACCTTAGCGCTGCTTTTGACACCATTGATCACAACATCATGTTAGACAGACTGAGGCACTGGGTGGGGATCTCTGGTACTGCTCTAGAATGGTTTTCATCCTACCTGTCAAATAGGAAGTTTTGCGTGTCTGTAAACAACTATGTCTCCTCGTTCTGTCCAGTTAAATATGGTGTGCCTCAGGGGTCGGTCTTAGGACCCATTTTGTTTTCCTTGTATCTGCTTCCCCTTGGACATATTATCCATAAACATG